GCCAACCGTCTCAGGGCTAGGATCGACTATGTACGGTCAAGGGATTGGGGTCTGTAGCCAACCGTCTCAGGGCTAGGATCGACTATGTACGGTCAAGGGATTGGGGTCTGTAGCCAACCGTCTCAGGGCTAGGATCGACTATGTACGGTCAAGGGATTGGGGTCTGTAGCCAACCGTCTCAGGGCTAGGATCGACTATGTACGGTCAAGGGATTGGGGTCTGTAGCCAACCGTCTCAGGGCTAGGATCGACTATGTACGGTCAAGGGATTGGGGTCTGTAGCCAACCGTCTCAGGGCTAGGATCGACTATGTACGGTCAAGGGATTGGGGTCTGTAGCCAACCGTCTCAGGGCTAGGATCGACTATGTACGGTCAAGGGATTGGGGTCTGTAGCCAACCGTCTCAGGGCTAGGATCGACTATGTACGGTCAAGGGATTGGGGTCTGTAGCCAACCGTCTCAGGGCTAGGATCGACTATGTACGGTCAAGGGATTGGGGTCTGTAGCCAACCGTCTCAGGGCTAGGATCGACTATGTACGGTCAAGGGATTGGGGTCTGTAGCCAACCGTCTCAGGGCTAGGATCGACTATGTACGGTCAAGGGATTGGGGTCTGTAGCCAACCGTCTCAGGGCTAGGATCGACTATGTACGGTCAAGGGATTGGGGTCTGTAGCCAACCGTCTCAGGGCTAGGATCGACTATGTACGGTCAAGGGATTGGGGTCTGTAGCCAACCGTCTCAGGGCTAGGATCGACTATGTACGGTCAAGGGATTGGGGTCTGTAGCCAACCGTCTCAGGGCTAGGATCGACACGGTAGGGCCAAGGGTTTGGGGACTGTGGCCAACCCTCTCAGGATTAGGATCCACTATGTAGGGTCAAGGGTTTGGACTCTGTGGCCAACTGTTACGGGGCTAGGTTCGACACTGTAGGTCCACGGGTTTGGGGTCTGTGGCCAACCGTTTTGGGTCTAGGATCGACACTGTAGGGCCAAGAGTTTGCAGTCTGTGGCCAACTGTTACGGGGCTAGGTTCGACACTGTAGGTCCACGGGTTTGGGGTCTGTGGCCAACCGTCTCAGGGCTAGGATCGACAGACCCCAAATCCTTGGCCCTAAATAGGTTATCCTAGCCCTGAGATGGTTGGCCACAGACCCCAAACCCTTAGCCCTACAAATTCGATCCTAGCCCCGAAACAGTGGACCACAGAGTTCAAACCCTTGGCCCTACAATGTAGATCCTAGCCTTGAGACGGTTGGCCACAGACCCCAAACCCTTTGCCATACAATGTCGATCCTAGCCCTGAAACAGTGGACCACAGAGTTCAAACCCTTGGCCCTGCAGTGTAGATCCTAGCTCTGAGATGGTTGGCCACAGAGTCCAAACCCTTGGTTCTACATAGTCGATCCTCACTCTGAAACAGTTGGCCATAGACCCCAAACCATTGGCCCTACATAGTCGATCCTAGCCCTGAGATGGTTAGCCACATACCCCAAAGACTTAACCCTCCATAGTCGAACCTAGCCCTGTGATGGTTGGCCACAGACCCCAAACCCTTGGCCCTACATAGTCGATCCTCACTCTGAAACAGTTGGCCACAGAGTCCAACCCCTTGGTTCTACATAGTCGATCCTCACTCTGAAACAGTTGGCCACAGAGTCCAACCCCTTGGTTCTACATAGTCGATCCTCACTCTGAAACAGTTGGCCACAGAGTCCAAACGCTGGGCCCTACAGTGTCGATCCTAGCCCTGAGACAGTTGGCTACATAGTCCAAACCTGGTAATAAAGAAAATCCAAACTGTCTCATGAACTTTGTTTCTTTAAAGCAATCATTCATTACTCATCACCTTGGACTGAAACTGCAAGGGAAGAAAGCACAAGGAAATGAAGCACAAGCAGTGAAAGGGTCTTTACATGAACTCTTAAGTTAGTACGCATGACGTTTCCAGGGAAATGACCAGATTCTCATAAATGTTAAAGAAATAGCTATGTGTACTGATCAGAATGTTTGGGCTTCAGTTATAGTCTGTATTACGCACACAACCCATTTTACTAGTGAAAACAGAAGTATCTTGGTAGGCCCCTAGGGGTAGAACCTTCTTATGTGCAATATATCATGCTTCAGACAGAGATAATTTCCTTGCTAAAATAATTAATGATCTGTGAACAGAGTAACATGATTAGTATTAAAGACTACAGCTGATCATAAAAGAACTTCTACATTAAAAGTGAATGTGTCATGTAAAAAATGTCTTGATATTCATTCTCTACATTCTCTAGTAACTGAAAGGAACAGTTAATTTTAAAAGTTTAGCTTATTTGTTCAGGGTGACTTAGAAATTTTCCTCATACTTTCAGTTTCTGAAATTGCTTACAGTCTTTGCAAGGATGATCAAACATAAATCTTGGAGAGGTCTGAACTTCATCTTGAAACCTTTAGGGAGTCTCTAAAGGTAGATAGAGATTTCATAGTAACGTGACCATTTCTCATACCACTGCTTGCATAGGAACCAATGTAAATAATGACTTTCACTATATTTTGCAAGCTGCTGCCAGCCGTGACAACAAAATTATCCCATTTAAACTACCAGGTAAACAGGATCAGTAAAAGTGTAGCGGATACAAGTCAGCTTATGTCTGTGCATTTTCAGATGACAAAAATGCAGTTCCACATTGGCACACCCTTTAAAAGCTTTATATTTAGAGACTAATTTTCTGAGAAGACAGAAGCAATGTAAAATATTGGGACTTCTTTCAAGTCCTCTACTAAGATGTAATTTTGAAGGTAGCAACTAATGATACAACTGTCTCTGAGCAAACCTAAGTCTTTGAGGCAGCTAATATGAAACAACCCTATTTGGCGAGTGCCATTAAGATACTGAACAATGAAGGAGAAAAAATACTAAACATATTGCCGATAGTCAGTGTCTAGAAAGCAAAATGATAACTGTTCCCAAGAAGGAAACAATCTGTAAAATGCAGCTTCAGAGTATAGAATGTGGACAGGTCCAGGATCACAGAATCACAGAATGTCAGGGGTTGGAAATGACCTCTGGAGATCATCAAGTCCAACCCCCCTGCCAGAGCAGGACTACCACAGTCTCTCTCTTTCTCTCTCTCCTTCCCTACCTGAGTGGGAGAGGGAGGGGACCAAGAGCATTGTTGTCTCTGGTTTAACTGCCCATCTTGAGTCAAACCGTGACACTGGGTCACATCCTACTTCTGTCCTGGACAGGACCAGTGGAGGAGCTGGCTCTGTAGGGCCAGCACCAGGCAGCGCCACAACAGACGGGACCTGCCAGTATCTTCTGGACGGCGCCCAGGGCACATAGTCCTGCAGTGCCCAACGCAGGCAGGGGAGCTTTTCCTCACAGGGCTGTGTGAACAGCTTCCTCCCTCGCTCTGGAGGACACAAAGGTGCTTTTGGGACTGTGTAGGACAATGGGAGGACCAAGTCTCCAGGCTGTCCCTGTGGAGCTGGAGGGGCAGCACCTTGCAGGATGGTAACAATGCCACAGCTCCTGGCCATGCTGGCTGAGCTCGGCCTTCCAGGCAAGTGGAGACTCACTCACCAAGCTCTTTCCAACGTTCCACTACAGTCCTTGTTGCTTTTTGACCTTGTACCAGCCTTGAGCCTGTGCTGGAGCTTTCCACCTGCTTTGAGCTGCATCCCCAAGCAACCTGCCTCTGGGAAGCCCTGGATCCATGTGTAAATATTGGCGGGTCCTGGTAACATGAACATCTGAGGGGCTGATCTGTTGTGTGGTAGGACGTGGAGACTTCCTGATGGTACAGCCGGGAGTCTCACGGGGAAGGGGGAAATCTCATGGGTTAAAGCCCCCCGCGGGTGCTGCCACGCTGGGGAAGGGGTCCCGGAAACTTCCACCCGAGCACCTGGAATGTACCGAGCTCCGCCTAGGACAGTTCTACTGCCTCCATGCCCTCCTAAGCAACGCCTTCCCTGGAATCACTCCTCCTCTCCGTGTTCCTGGGATACCCTCTTAACGCCGCCGGCCCGGGGGGCGTTCCTGGTTTCACCTGTACGGTTAACGAGGCACCAGTCCAGCATCTACCACCCTACAGCACAGTCCTGCCGAGTCCTGTTCAACACCGGGAGCGAGGAGCGGCGTGTGCTTT